TTTTTCCTTAGTGATTCTGAGTAAACATGAAAAAAGTGTTAAAAATTGAAGTATTGCAAAAGCATAGCTTTAATATTTAAAGTATTTCTTTTTCCATTTAGATCATAAGAAATGCAAAATTCTGTTGTATTTAAATCCATGAACACTTGAAAATTGACAAAAAACGAAATCAACAAAAAAAAAACAACTTATTGTCATATTGTTAAAATTCTTGTTTACAAACTTTTTTTAATTTTTTTTTGTAGATAACGATTTAAAATGTCTTAAATATTGTTTCCTGTGTAGAAAAAGCATAAAACAGCGTACCAACAAAAAGTTCAAAAATTTGACCAAAAGTTTTTGTTCATCGATTTTGGTCAATTTTCAAAATATAAGCTTTAAATATTCCAAAATTTTGCATTTTTATGAGATTTTCTTTAAAAAAATATAACTTCTGATGATATTCTATTTGAGGTATTTGAGTTTTTATCATTTTCTTGGAATATTAACTCAAAATTACTAAGTAAATTACAACTTTTATTTTTCCCAGGAATACTTTATGTTTCTCTACAACTTTGTCTCAAACGTCATTTTGATCAGTAATGACCGTTGTCGAAAAATGGCATAGACGCAATTTAAAAAAATTTACAATTTACAAAAAGGTCGAATTTTTGGTAAAAATGTAAATAATTTCCCATAACATACAATTACGCAAAGTTTTATGCAAATCGAAGAACGTCGAGTTTTCCCGATTTGTCATTTGGCGTGTAAATGCTTAAAATGTAGTTTTGAATTCTTTATTAAAACTCAAATCAAAGCTCGAATCATGGCATCTTTTTTACTTGTTCAGTACTCTCCAAAGGAACTCCTCAGAAAATGTAAAATTATTTGGTCTCACAAATAAAAGTTACAGCTAGCTTTGTGTGTGCCATTTTGATCTGAACTACTGATATGCACCAAATGAACAAAGGGCACGGGTAAATCACCCAGTAACGTGTGCTGGTTGCAGTGGCAAGGACTTGAATAGTGTAAAGAACTATTTCCAATTGATACATTTTAAAATAATACAATAATTAGATTAGTTTCAATGCTGCTTTCGCACCGGAAATAGGTTAATTCCCAAACGATCAAATCATCCAGTCCATTTTTACTCCAGAAACTGCGCCAGCATTGCAGAATATGTGTAAATTGTCTTCATGATCTGCAAGTTCAAACAGCTATTAAACATTCCTAAAAATAACCGCTTTCATTAAATTCACCTCCACAAAAGTTTCCATGTTAAGAAGGGCCAGTCCACCGACCGTCATCTCCACTGCGTTCTGCGATCGATGCAACATGAATCCAATCATCTTCTGTTCCTCGTTTGAAAGCCTGTACCAACATGTGTCATACAGGGCCAGCATAACTTCATCATTCTGTAAAATCGGTTAAAATTTACCGTTAGACCCTCATCCTACCAGCAATGACAGCTATCAACCTTAATCGTAAGAACAGTTCCCAGCACACAAAATTGCAACAGTTGAAAGAAAGCAAACAGCAGGAACGTAAGTGCACCTATGTTGTAGGTCATGTAGAAGTTGAACAACGATAATGCAACGCAACCTACTGATGACAGCACCTGTACAAAAACTGTGGCTCCATAGTTTTCATCCAAATCCTCCTCGTAGCTGAAACGAGACTCATAATTACTTGACCGCTTTATTCTGTAAGCTATGCTCCCATTACGTGATGATTTCTTGATGCATGATGCAAATCTCCTGGAGCTTCTTTCGAACCTCGTTCTCATTTCGATCCTCCCTTTCCGTCAAATGATCCAACTCGTGTAAGGCATTCTTGAACACATCGGCTATCCCGGTCACATGTCCGACAATAATGAGGATTCCCGTGTCAGCAGCGAGAATACCCGCCACAGCCATAAATATCAGTGTGATGTGGAAAAGGCTCGTTACGGTAAATCCCAGTGTGGAAAACGCTTCTATTCCTGGTATATGTAAATTCAACAACAACATTCGCTGTTGGGACCGTATGTAAGTCACTATTGGAAGTATGAGAAACCCGAATCCACCAGCTATTGTAACGATCAACAGAAATCTGTACCCGTAGGTTATGATGGTTCCCCAATACACCAATTGGCGGTTATTTTCGAAGTGCTTGTCGTTTCGTCGATACAAAGCCGTAAGCCGCCGATAGTTTCCTTGGTAGAATTCAGCGTTCACTAATCCGGTGTACGCTTTTATGAGACTCGACGATCCCATTCCAAGAAGTGACAGTGTTTCAATCACTTGAAACCAATCTCCCCAGTGATAACCAACAGTGTACAAGGTGAACAACAAAAACAGTATCAGACAAAGAGTACAAAATGCCGTCATCTTGTTTGGGTGGAATGGTATTTTCAGCACGTCGTATCCAACCACCCGAAGTTGCCAGCGGAGATATTTGATCAGTTCTTCGTACACATCGATGCCATGAGTTCGCGAAAGCTCTTCCTCGTCGAAGATAACGAAATAGCGCTTCAGAACTCGGCGGAGTTCCATGATGGATGGTCGTTCCTAGAGAACTGGAAGGCCGTACTTGCAGTTCCGAAAAGGTAGTTGGTTGTTTATCGCGTATTTATTATGCATTCCCATGCCGTGGTGAATTAGAAATTCATCTTTTAATGATATATGGAGGCACCGAGCAACATTGTAGTGTAGCAACAATGTCAATCAGTCAATAATGGAACAAATGCTGAGATGTAATTAAATGCGTCAAAATCTTGGGTGGGCGTGAACCGTTTATGAGAACCCAATCAAGACTGAAATACACAACTGGAAAGTGAAAATAAACTACACGGATACATTCCAATTTAGGATTATATTCCAATTGTAAATGGAAGAAAATTACATAACCTATGTTACCCTACAAGTGAACTGTTTAAAGATCTAAAGCAGACTTCTTACTTTATTTACAAGGTTTTCAGCCAGGGGTTCGGTCACCTTGGGACTTAAAAACATAAAAGGTAAGTGGTTGTATCCAAGGCACGACCGTAGATTTGACATAGGATTACACAAACGACCCATTCAACCAAACGACACGGAACCTTGTTGAATGCAACTCCAGTTGAGCAACATTGAGATTTGTTTGAACGAATTAAATTGGCAACTATTAAGAGTTGATGACAAATTGAATGCCCATGACCCATGCAAAAATCTGCTCATCTGCAAATATTGAGTTCGTATTGATGTGAAGCATCATTCTATTCAAAATTATCTTTTCAAAAAGTTTACTTATTGATGAAAGCAAACTTATTGGAGGGTTGCTAGAAGCTTCAGCTGGATTTTTATCTGGCTTCAAAATTGGAACAACCTTCATTTATTAGGAAAGTAAGCCAGATGAAAACATCTGTTGAATAATTTTACCAAGAAAGACAAGGTACTCTCTGGGAGTTTGTATGAGGATATAGAAAAATCCATCATCACCTGGAGCTATCATGTTATGTTTTTTTAGTTATAGATCTAAATTCGCCCAAATCAATCCCCCAGGAATCATCAAAAATATTTTCCCGAGAGAAAATATTCATATTTGTTTTGCATTAAAATCACCAACAATGAAGAATTCAGACCTATGACGGGTAAGTTTCTGGATACTTGAGAAAATTCTTTTGCTGACCTACGCATTGGAATGATAAATAGGCAGCTATAAAAGTAAGTTCTCAAAATTTTGTTTCGAGAGAAATTCCCAAAGTTTCAAAAATTTGGGTTCTAGTGAAGAAAGAATTTGATGTTTGATACGTCTATGAACAATGATGGCAACGCCATCACCGGCTCCATCAAGACTATTATTTCGATAAATGAAATAATTTGCGTGCCTTTTAACCTTATTGCACGTTATGAACTCTCTAAAAGTATAACAGCTCGTCATCATTACCTTATTAAAGAGTTGTTTAATTTAAATAGTTCTGTAATGTAAAGTTTCATAAATAGTGCAAAAACACGTTTTTAAAAATGTCCACAGTCAAACAAATGTTTGAACGCACTTTTATGTAGATAGACGTTATCTTTAGCCATACGTATAAAGTACATTGTGATCATAACCAAGTGTACTGCTAAAAGCTGCGTTACAATTACATATTTTAAAATATATAAACAAAATTTATTTATTGGCCCAATGTTACCCCACATAAGGTTATACATTCGACTTTTTTTTATTTAATTTTATTAAAATGAGATATCAATTTCAATCAACCATTTCCATGACAGTCGTTAATATATCAGTGATGGATATATTCATATACTTAAAAATGTGTTTCTTGCTTATATGTGGACGTTCTAAGGTAGGGCGAACATTTTGATTTTTGGTCCAATGTCACCCTCACTTACAATATGTTGTGTGCTCCAGCAGACATTTAAAATTGTACTGAATATCTGTTAAAGAAACTGATACCAGTGGGTTAGTTTATTCCAGAAACTGCAGCAACATTGCTGAGTACGAGTAGATCTTTTTAATGATCTGCAAATAGAGCAAAAAAAAATAATATTAATGTTTACGTGTTCCATTTATTAACATGCATCATACCTCTACAAACGTTTCCATGTTAAGCAGAGATATTCCACCGATCGTCATCTCAACTGCGTTCTGCGATCGTTGCAACATGAAACCCATCACTTTTTGCAACTCACACGGAAGATAATACCAGCGGGTACCGCCCAAGGCCAGCATAATTTCATCGTTCTGAAAATACATATCATTAAACAATCATTTCCATCACCCGCCTAAATATGCAAAACACTCACCTTAATCGTCAAAATGGTACCCATGACACAATATTGCAACAATTGGAAAAAAAGCAAGCGCCAGGAACGTCAGAATGCCTATATTCAGAGTCATGTAGAAATTAAACATCGACAGCGCAATACAAGCCACTGATGAAAGCACTTGGACGAAGACAATGGCTCCATGGGCCGCATCCAAATCCTCTTCGTAACTGCAATGGATTGAGTGTTTTATCCAGGGAATACTTCTGAAGCTTCTCATCAAAGGTATTACGTGATGATTTCCTGATGAATGACACACACTTCCAGCAGTTTTTTGCGAATCCGTTCAGCGTTTCTGTCATCCGTCTCTAGCAACTGATCCAGCTCGTTCAAAGCATTTTTGAAAACATCTGTGATTCCCGCAACATGTCCAATGACAATGATGACTGTAAGGTCAGCGACAAGGATACCCGCCACAGCCAAAATCAATAGCTCTAGGTGGTACGCAGTAGTGATGGCATAACCAAGGCTTGTATCCGTATCGATTCCAGGAATGTGCAAATTTATCAACAACAATCGCTCGTTAAAGCGAATGTATGTGTACATGGGAACAATCAGAAAGCCGAAACCGCCAGAAATGAAAATCACCAGGAAAAACCAGTATGCGTAGTCGATCAAGATACACCAATACACCAGTTGGCGGTTGTTCTTCTTGTGTTTGCCATTGTTTCGATACAAAGCTGTCAATCGCCGATAGTTTCCTCGATAGAACTCGTAATTCATCAGTCCGCTGTACGCTTTTACCAGAGACGAGGATCCCATACCTACCAAGGACAATGTTTCGATCACTTGAAACCAATCGCCCCAGTGAAGATAGACCGTGTATCCAGTGAACAGAATGAACGATAGCAAACTCAAGCAAGTTAAGAATGTCATCGGGCTCCAAATGAATGGAACCGTTAGGACGTCCATACCGATCAGACGAAGCTTCCAACGCAAACGGCGAAGAAGGCCTTCATACAGATCGATGCCTTGAATTTGAAGCAGAGCTTCCTCATTAAAGATCACCAGGTGACGTCTGATTGCGCGGCGGAGGTTCATGTTGGTCTTCCGTTTGCTGAGTGTAAACTGGTGCTTCGGTTTGACTGGATTATAAATTCTGCTGCTCTAAGTGCAGTGTTTCTGTTTTTCATTTCCGCTTGTAAATATTACAGTGGCTATACCCGCAATTCAAATTGCATCCCAGTTAATAACCAGTTGGGGCCTTCCTTCGCTCGGCCGGTAAAGGTGCAGGTACAAAACATCCCAAGTATTACAAATTCAAAGAATAATACATACTTATAAAGCTCATATCTCTTATAGAGGAAGCGAACACTAAGTTGAGAACTGGTATAGAGCCAAATAAATAAATAAATAAAACCAATCAAGAAGAAGATAATTACCAGTTGAAGGTACTACGTTGTAGGATCATCACACGCTGTATTTATAATTCATGTGAAAGTTTCTTCACCACGGTAAGGGAACTATTGATCCTCATGGGGGTGAGCTTTTTTTGTGTTTTCACACCACGTTATTTAAATAAGAGCTGGGTACCCGGTCCGGTCGACGGAATCTTTCGGGTTGGAAATTCTCTCGACTTCCCTGGGCATATAGTATCATTGTGTTTGTCACACAATATACAAATACATGCATTGGTATTGGCATAGAATGCTCTCAATTAATAACTGAGGAAGTGCATTTAGAATACTAAGTTGAGAGCATGCAATAAGCTTATATGCGCTAAGCAAAAATGTTTCAAATACGAATAAGAAGAAGAAAAGGGTACCCGGATACTACGTTTCATACATATCGGTTAAATGAATAATAAATGCGTGAATCAGTTCTAAGCCTTGCATTAACTGTAAACAGACATCTCAAGTTGCAGCAAAAACCGTTCGAAATAGATGTTTGCCGTGTTCTTGTAACCACCTATCTTGTAACCTTCAAAGCACAAATCACCTTCTTGGCAACAGTTTGTACGATGCTGTGATGTCATGGTAAATTTGTAGCTGCTACTAGGGTGGTTCGTTTTGAAGAAAAGTATAAGATTTCTTATAGGTCACCCTCTAGTTTGATTCATAAACCGAAAATATGCGTGTGTGCAAACAATGGTAAAGATTGATGAAGATTTAGTGGTCACGCAACAACTTTAAATCTTATTTAAAATGTGCTCATTTTGACGTAGAACTACGTCTTTGTCGACTATACTGGGTGCAAATCAAAAAATATGTGTGGTTAAGGAGTGTTAGGTTTTGAGCGCTTGTAACTTTGTCATTTATAGATGAAATTAAAATCCAAATACGCCAATCGATAGTATATTACATTGCAAACCTGTTGAAATAAATATTTTTCCATTTTTTCTGTAATTAAACTATTGAAAATGTGCAAATGATAATTTTATCACTGATTTCATGAAATAAGCCTTTTTCCCAAAACCAGTCATCATAAACACTTGGTTGCACATCATTCTGCTTGAACCTGAAAAGATATAAATCAGCGCTGCTCTCATGCCTCTGCTCATTACCTCTTCGGACGGCGTGGCACCAGGTCCTGCATGAAGCAGGACTAGGTCAGCGGCTAAAGGTGGATCACTGTGTGACCACCACAATGAGGAATGATACTTGAAAAAACGTGCATTTAAAACCCCCTCCCGCTTAACAACCCCCTCCCCCTCCCCCTTAACAATAACCCGAAAAAGACATGGACTTTGACGATCATTTTTTTTCGGGAAATAAGTTTTAAGCACACCTTAATAATGTATGAACAATTAATTTTTTACATGCAGAGCCAATTTTGTTCCTTATCGAAAAATATTAGGCGTGTGTTCTTTTTATTGCACCATTGAAGTGATACCTTCCGTGTTAAAGTAGTCCAAAAACTAAGTATTTTTTTATATTTTTTTAAAATCACAACTTTAACATCACTTGACCGATTTTTGTAATATAGTTTTCTGGAACAATATGAATATGGATTTTATTTGTGATTCTACTTTGAAAAACATTGATTACAATAGGTTTTATGATTTTCATGGTCTCGGAACCAGAGGCACTATTGCATTTTATATTTTTTTTGATAATTTCGACTTAGTAAGACAACATTTGTATAGCGATGTATATTTTTTAATTTCTCATTTACAATTTTTCAAAAAGTATAATGTTTCTAGTTTTTGCTAATTCATTGCATAAGGCTCACTTATCTTATGTCCAATCAATGTTCGTTAGACTCGCACTTCTATCGAATTAGGCTCTCAGGCATGTACCTTACACCGTGCTGCCAGATCTGAGCTATCCACATCCCTCAGGGCCCGAGCAAAACAACCCGCGATACCCGTAGAGATGTCCTGGCGAGCCGAGATCTCGACTATTTGAATTTAATTTATGTGTTTTTAAAACGGATCGATCTGAGGATTGGTTAGTGTCATCTTGTGTTCTCCCAAGTTGTTAGCTGCCCATCGGTGTACCCCCATGTTTGTCTTTTTCATCAGAGTGTCGCTTAGTTTGAGATCAAGAGCACATCAATCCCTACCCTCCCATCCGTTTGTTACAATTTGTTACCCCTAACCTCGAGATAGCCGCGAGTAATCGGCCCCCGCTTTACTAATGTTAGTTTTAAGTAATTTTGTAATCTAAAAAACGAATATCAGCTCCGCAAAGCTGCAGTTAATGAGCCTGGAAAAATAAACGCATTATAAAAAAAGCTTATATAAAATGCATTGCGTTGGGCACTTCAAAATTTAAAATAAAATCGTAAAACAACTATTTCTTGTAAAATTTTTGATTTATGATTGCACCTTAATATGGAAATTTTGCATAGAAAACGATTAATTAGGCATTATTTTCGGTGTTCTGTCCGGCTGGTAGTTTCTTATTGCTTTCTTATAGGGAAGGCAGGGTTACCTGGGGTAATGTGCACCGTTGGGACAAGATGTTCTTCCTTCGTTTTCACAACAAATTAGTAACCATACAAGTTAAATCTATGTTCGCTTTGGACACCACCAATTTGGCAGCTCTAGCTATGTTATCAGGTAACATAGATAAAAATAAAAAACCAGTTTGCAATAGCAGTAGTGTAATTTTTTTCCTCCGCACTGTCAAGATTTATTAGCGATTCAACCATTATTAAGCGTCGGTGAAATATATTACCCATTTGATTGAGATCAGAGCTACATCTTTGTTTTATAAAATAAAATAATATTAATAATAAGTTTTAATATGTATTTATATTTAATGATCAAAAATATTTTCTTTATACATTCAGGGTAAAATGCACTCCTTAGTTCGGGGCAAAATGATCCTTTGTTGAACAAGCTTCCCAAGTAACATTGCAAGTTTTATGGAGGGTTTGAAATATGCTACAAGTCTAAATCATATGGGGCCTCCGTTAGCTCAGTCGGTAAAGGCGCAGCTACAAAGCAAGACCATGCTGGAGGTGGCTGGGTTCAATTCCCGGTCCAGTCTAGGAATTTTTCGGGTTGGAAAATTTCTCGACTTCCCTGGGCATAGAAGTATGATTGGACTTGCCACACAATTATACCAATGCAAAAATGTTACAGGCATCGAAAGCTCTCAATTAATAACTGTGGAAGTGCATCTAGAACACTAAGTTGAGAGCACGCAACAAGCTAATATGCGATATGCAATAAGCTTGAAATGCGAAGAAGAAGAGGAATAACAAGTCTAAATCATGATCTACAGAACCCGTATAAAACCAAAAATTTTACTTGGGTCTTTTTATCTTTCTTCAGACATGGTCCGTAACGTTTCGAAGTCTATTAACGGTCATTGACCTTTGAACAACTACGATTGACAACGAAGACGTTCTTTTACCTCAATTGGTCACCATAATATATAAGGAGAGTCACATTGTCCCATTACGGTAGAGAATTTGGCCCCATATTGTTGGGGTGCAATTTGCTTCATCATTGTGGTGCGTCTTACTCCATTGTTGTAGTGCATTTTACCCCAGCATGGGTGCATTTCGCCCAGATTAGTGGCACTTCCAAATTATTTTATTAAATTAAATTATTAAATGTTGCGAATATAAACAATTAAATATTGCGTAAGAGAAAATGCCTTGATTTTCTTAACTGGTTCATTTTTCCCCAGGAACCCCTATACCAGACCAGTTATGGCACTACCTACTTAAGAAATGAATCAGCGTTGGCCTACGGCGTTTAAATAGAGTTGTGTTATAACTGGTACTCTTTCCACAACTGGTGCATTTACCCTACATACTTAAATTGCTCTGAAATCCCTCAGATTTTGATTATTTTCCAGATAGTGATAATAACCCGAATCCGACTTATTTTACACTAAAATTTTCTACGAGCTGCGTCACACCACTTCAACATGAATTGATAATGAAGACGCAAGACCCCCTTAATGAGTTTCCCATAATTGTGGCCTCTGTTGCCTTCACTCAGTCTTCAAATAATAGCCGCCCGGCATGGATCTCCGTCGCATTCTGAAGCACAATTTTTTGATCTTCGATGAGGAAGCACAGGATCAACTTCATGGCATCGATGTGTACGAAAAACTGGTCGGAGTTATGCGCTGGCAGCTTCGGTGGGTTGGATACGACGTCTTGGACGTATCATTCAAACCAAACCTGATGACGTGGTTCAGTTCTATTTGCCTGATGCTGTTTATGTTATTCAGTGGATATACGATCGTACTCCATGCGGGTGATTGGTTCCAAGTGTTTGAAACGCTATCGATATTTGGGATGGGATCTTCAACTCTTATAAAAGCGTACATAGGATTGGTGAAAGCAAAGTACTACCAAGAAAATAATCAACGGCTTACGTCTTTCTACGGTAGGAACATCAAGCACAAAGAGAACAATCGCCGATTGGTGTATTGGGGAGTTTTGATCACCTATATGTTTAGATTTTTTCA